AAATAGACACGACAAAAATATATCCAATCAAGTCATTTACTTTAACAGGCTGGTCATAAAACTTTCAGAGCCTTCTGCTAAGCCTAAAGATAAAAAGCAGGAAAAGCACTGATCCAAATATCCTGAAGGGAGGTAAGAACAATTTGCTGCTCAATACCGAGACCTGTTACAAAATTACAGATTTATTGTTATTTATCTTGGCTAGGAATGCTAAAAAGACAGAGATCAACTTGTCACTAAGAGGATTAATTCAGGGTCGTTTTTTAAAAATAGATTTTGGTTCATTTATTTTATACTTTGACTCAAGAAATGATTTATTTTGCATAAAAAAGTAAAGAAGAAAAAGAAGTTCAAACCTAACTAATAATATGGGTGAGTAAAAGTTAAGGGCTAATTATCATTTTTTCCCTCCATCACTGTTCTCAGGGCAAATCAGTTCACCCAAACATTATCCACACAGACTCAGACCACAACCTTCCAAAAAGAAGGCAAACGGATAGAGGAAATGTATGGACACGGCGGCCTTTTCTTCATCCTGCTGGATCCTTCTCCTTTACCAACAGTGCTTCTGTTTCATTTCCTGATGGCTGATTTGTTGTCTCCTGCTGTCCCAGCAGATAAGTGAATTTCCCCCATGAGGAATGTGCTCAAGTGTTCAGAACCCATGTCAGAATCCTATCAGTGGCCAAACAGTGTGGTCTCTGTGTGCGGACTCGCCCAGAGCACATACTCCTGTGGGAACCTTCCCAAAGTGTCCAGGCCAGGGCTAGAAAATATGAAACTGTCAACTGTAGATGGTACTTCATTTTCAAATTGACTGCCGAGAATGCATACAGCAGAATTATCTATGGCACTTGTTTTCCAACCTTTTCCACAATAAAAGCATATACTGCATTTATTAAGTCTTAAAATGCAAACTTTTCATACAGAAATAATAAAGAGGTGCTAAAAAAAGCAACAACATCCATTTTCTAGTACATAAAGTCATTGGAGAAGATTAAACTATCCCAAATAAGGGAGTCACACAAATATTCTGCTTCGCTGAGGCAAAGGTTAATTTGAGGATGAAAATTGGAGTCAGGTGTTGTAAATCATCTGCTTGTGGCCATTCATCTAATAACCAGAACAGGGACCAATGAAAGTTGGAGCCTCTCAAAAACATGTCTGTAAAGGTCTAGCATTACTAAAACAAAAGGAAGCAAAACGAGAAAATGAAAGAAGAGCGGCTGAGGTTTATCGGGCTGAAAAGGCTCACAAAAAAATCTCAAGGCTTTGAAAGGACACAAAGGAAACAAGAGCAGGGCTTCTCCACCAAAAGTCTCCCTCACCGCTACACATGCATGATATCCATTAAAAGAAAGAGGAGTTGCATCGGGCTGCAGGAGTCGGGAGAAAAACGATCCTTGTTCTAAAATGCGACTTTAAGGGGAAGTCAAAGTGATTCATCTGCTTTCAGACATTTAAGACGTGCAACTGGGTCATGAAAAAACGTGTGCAGAGCAGAAACCTGAGCCACAAACAGAGTGTAGGTTTGTGAGCTTTGCTGATGCACCTCAGAAGTAACACAGAGGTGAGGACAGGAGGAGGAGGTCAGAGAAATGGCAGATAAATCAAACAAGGGGAAAGACTTGTTCAGGTTTTTTTCTCCACAACCTGCCGACTGGACATAAATAATTATGAGCTTGGCAGATGCAGAAACAAGAGATAGTACTCTGAAAAGTTCATGTCTAAACTGAGTGTTTCATCCAGTCTTGGCATCCGTTTTATCTTTTTTCCACGTTTAGAGTCCAAAATGTGAAATTTCTCCCCTGTCCTCCCATCACCAGCACCGCCTCCCACACAAACAATACACACAAATCTTACCTCTCTCGGACAAACTCGGCCAGCTCCTTGGTTGCCTGCTGACCGTGCTTCATGTTGTGGTAGAGCACGTCGAAGCCGGCATTCTTCTCCCCCTGCAGAGCCACAGACAGACACTCGCTCAGTCAGCTTCTTATCCAGAAACAGCCCACTGACACGATCAGGTTAACAAGAGCGATGTCAGCCGGTGCTTCCCTCTCACAGCTGAACAACATCCAAGAGTTCACAGACACTTTGGAGCAAAGTACTTAATTAATTACTTCCCTGCAGCCCTTACTGTTTTTCCGTTCAACTATGAGCCGGTTTTAATTATCTAAACAAACAAACTAAGCAGGTGCCACAGAATTTACTCACAGGAAGGTTTTGCTAGTTAAATCATCATCAACATAACAAACAACATAAAAGGTCATTAATGCCAAAGAGAAGAAAACTCATTTACCTAGTTTTTCATCACATTTATTTGGTTCTTTGGTTCTGAAGATTGTATTTGAAGAACTGACCAAAATTGAAATTGAGATTTACCATTGCTCAAGCGTAAAGTTCAAAATGACAGAGAACACTATACTATGGCCCGATGCAAACCCCCAGCTTTGGCCCTGCCTCTGCACTTTGCAGGAGTTAAGGGCCTCCCTTCCTTTTCCGGGCCTCTAAACTGGGACGTTTGAAGCCATTTGATAGCTCTACTTCCTTCAACTTAAGAGAAAAGAGGAACTCTATTGCTGCAAGATGGACAGGAAGGACAAAACACAGGGATGAATACCGAGTGTTTGAACAGTCAGTTTCAACACGGCTGCTGAACAAACCAAGGCTTTAATGTTTGAAAGGTTCAGTGTCGCTGACGAATCAGGTTGTTGAGTAGATTTTAAAAGCAAATGCGAGCCATCATCATAGAAATATGAGAAAGCCACAACAGGTTGTTGTTGGGATGAGACCTTGAAGCTACACGGACTATTTCATCATCCCACGTCATCCGTTATAATTACACAAACCTTCACCTGTCCCTGCATAGATCTCTATAATCCAAAAAAGTGCAACAGAGCAGCAACTGTCTTCGGCCTCGCCACCTTTTTTTCTTTTTTTTTGCCAACAGACGGCTGAGCAGCTTGTGCACACAGAGACACAAACAGCTGCTACTCAGGACCTAAAAATATCCAGTGGAAGGAGAACAGACCCTTTCCCAGGTACCAGGGGAATGGCTGGAATGCCAAGGAACAGTCACCATCAACCACACACACACACACACACACACAACCTGCCAAGTAAGAAAACAACGCAGAACGAGACGCGAAGGTTGAGCAATCGGCTTCAGTGTTCAGTAAAGAAATGAAGAGGTCTCAGACAGGTAGATGAGAAGAGTCCTGACAGAAAACTGAGTCAGTGCAGAGGCCCCCTAACGGGTTTCTTCTCGTTGCCAGCATCTGAACAAATAAAACGGTGCATAAACGCACTGCAAACATGACTTCCAGCTGCCTGCAAGCACATACAGTCTGCACCGAGAAGACAACTCACCAGAAGAGCCTGGCTTGAGAAATGATTATCTCTTTGTCTTTAAACTTTTCATTCCAGACTCATAGAGGTTGTCAGAGAATGGCTCGCTTTGGAGGAATAAAGATGATGAAGAGACGATTAAAGACATTTGCTCTTAGCTGTTACTGCTGCCTCCCTTCTCACCAACAAGGTTGAACGGACCACAGCCAATTCTACAGTCTGAAACCCCCTGAGAATGATGCCAACAGTTTAGGAACAATGGCAAAGAAGCGCTGAAACTGTGTAATAAAGAGATCATAATCCTTGCTTGAGGTGAAGTGTTGCCCCTCGACCCCTTTTTTCTGATGGAAAACAGAACATATTTGAGGTTGTGTGCATCTGTCGGCCATCTGAGGTCAGATCTCTGACTTTTTAGTGGATCATCTCCATGTTTTAGCTGGACAAATAGACATGGGAGAAAATCACTTGCAGTTTTAAGAAAGGTTTATATCCTTAGAGAGAAAATTGTTCGAAAGCCCGGAACTTTAAGGCAAATTTTCATCTGAATTAAAAAGGGGAAGTTTGCCCTTCACATACAAACTGCAGGAAAATCGTTTGCATGGCCCTTTGGTCTGACTTTCAGTGACATAATGTCGGACAAAATGACCCTGTGTTACTCTAGAGGGGCTAAACAGGCGGCGTGCGGTCATGTCTTTGCCATATTTGGAATAATAACAATTGTCTCCGGGTTCGGTGGCTTTCCTCCAGCTGGAGACTGTTTTTGGTTGAAATCCTAGCCTCACCGCAGTAAAGTGAGCTGCCAGACAACACTTCAAAAGCGCACACACGAAACCTTCCTCCTCCCAGCGCCACACGGCACCTGTCTGCCTCTGCTGGCAGGCCGCTCTGCCGGCTGCGTATAAAAGACTTGTTTGTCAGGGTCTGCACACAGAGCTTGATCACAATAACAGTCAGTCTGATGGTTTCTGGACGATTTGCAAAGGCAAATGTGAGCCCTGTGATAAGAGCCAAATGTTGTTAATCGTCACCGAATTTCAGCTGCTGATCCCTTTTTTGAAATCGGACCCTTTTGGTCCTTTTCCATCGTTTCAAAGCTGTGAGCAAATGGAGAATCTCACTATTGACTTTAAAAATAAACAACAATTTTATGCAGTTCTGATGTTTAGATGATGTTTTAGTACATTTTCCTTTATGTACATACTGGAGCTAGAAATTCTGTATGTATGCATTTGGTATGAATGGACTTTGGTGCACACAAAGTAGGTTAACCAGAAAAAAAAGGACTTTCTAGTTTCCACTGGACAATTTGAGATTAGCACATTTTTAAAATGTTGTTTTTGAACATGAGCTTGGTCCCTATTTTTGTGAGAAACTTCCATAATATCTGTTTTACAACTGGGCAAGTGATTAAACTGGAGAGAGTATAATCTTTTGAATACGGTTCATTATGTGAGGATCTCATGTTTTAAACTGAGTTACCACAAAAACACTAATAACACGTTTTGTCAGTGACGTTGCTGAGTGTGTTTTTGAGTGGACGTTTTCCATGGGTTGGGCAAACCGGCACCAGCCAGACCGCAGCTCAAAACCCACCAGCAGTCTTTAAGTGTCATAATGTATTCTTTAAGACTTTTTGGGGGGAATGAAATCCCTTTACATCTGATAAATGCCAACCCCCTCGTCTCTCCCTTGCTGCTGATCTTTTTCATCAATTAAGATGACCGTTTTGGTCACGCATGATGGAGCCCATTACCATGACAATGAGGACACGACGGGAGAGGCGGCAAGAGGAACTTGGGGGAGGTTTACGGCGTGGTGTAAAATCTGTATGTGGAGAACTTTCACATTCAGACTCTGGGGGGACGACAAGGATGCCTGGACATTTACTTTAATTTGTTCTTTCTTAAATCTTAATAAATGAGACGACAGCATTCGTCTGCTCAGTGGACGTGTTCTGGTCCAACTTGGATTCAAATGTTTTTTTACCGAGAGCAAATCCCACATCTTAAATTAAGACTGATGTCATATGATAAATGCATCCACTCTTCAAACGTCAACGGGGTCATATCTACTGAGTCATGGAATGAAAGCACTTTCTTATTTGAAATGTGGACAGAGAGGCTTTAAGATTTGTTCCATCTTCTTTATAATATCCTGATACCTTGCAATCAGATTTGGTGCAGTCCTTCTGATTCTTTAAATGACTTTTGTGTGTAACCTACTGCCAGTTCATTGTTTGACAGACCGATCAGGTCAGATTTTGGTCTCAAAATAGTAAAATATCTGACTGTTTATTATCAGTTGACCTAACTTCTGACAGCAGCTACAAGATTAAAAGGCTTTGGTTTTGGTACAGATTGTTTTTATCGACACAGGGAGAGAATATCCTTATATAGTGGGGAAGTTCACTGTAAAGACAAGCTGTTTGATAATGATCAAAAAACAGACTTGTTCGACTCTTTGTAGTTCACCCCAGAAAAGCAGCCGGGAGAAGATAAAAGACCTGAAAAGTTCAGGACTCTGGATTACAGAATTTAGCGATTCTGGTTGTGAGAACATTGTGCGATGAGCTTTGTACCAGTACACATTTCTAAATAAGTTAAACATTTATTTCACAAACAACCCAATAGCTTAGTCATTGTTTAGCGTGTGTGTGTCTTCATGAAAACTTGCAGTTCTAAAGCTCCAGGGTGGGCTCTTCTTTAACTGCTCTCACTTGATTTCAATTAGACACATGTGACTAGAATTGGACAAGAAAACAGTAGATCTAAAACTAACCAATGAGAAAAGACAAGGCTTCACGTGTTAAACAAATAGTACAAAAGCAAGAAGTCCTCACACACAAACTCTTTCTGAAACACTAAACTGTGTGGATTATTGTTCTGGAGGCTTTAGATATAACTGCACAAGTTCAGATATTCAAATATATATTCAAATATTTGATATCTGATTATCCGGCACTGTCATTAAATATCTCTGGAGTTACTGGAATGAAGTTCTCACAGGTATTTTTGTAGTTAAACGTGCTGTTAACCAGCAAAATGGAGGAGCTTGACACACACACACACCGCACCAAAATACATCTTTACTCACACGTACAGTTACAAAAATACACGCCACTTCCTCTGTTAAACTGTGATTTCACACGCATGTTTTCAGAGTTGTCATGAGTACGGGCATATGATTTCTAAATGTAAAGCTTAAATTTGACAGACTGAAATTCAGCTATAACAGCGTCTCATGAGAGCCGAAGTAGTGCTAAAGAGAGTAAAACCTTTATGATTCTGGATACTCATTTGCATCAGTATCATCAAACACGCGTGGAGCTGTTGGGCCATCACTGCAGGAGGACACAATATCCAAACACTAACGAAATATTACAAAGGCAAATCTTCCATTCAGAGAAATGACTTTCCTTTATCAGTTTCAACAATCACATTAAAAGAAAATTCATCTTTATTTAACTGATTTTAAATAAAAATGGACTTTAGCTGAAATGACTGAAAAGCCCTACTTTGCGAGACAGTGGGGAGCGAGAGTTGCTCCATGCTCTGCTCAAACCACGGCAGAAGGTTTAACGACAGCTTGCCTGGTACAGCAGATTGATCTGCCCGCTATTTTCCTGATGAACATCTAA